GAAGCAGGAAAGACCAGAGCCAACTTTTTAGACATCACTCCCCTTTTCAAAGCAGCCTCAGAGCTGAAGCATCATCTCTAAATAATTGCTATAAAAACTGAAATGATGAGCAGCCTGGGCAATATAGCAAGACCTCATCTCTCAAAAAAGAGAAAAAGAAACAAGTATTCTCAAGGACTGAGGAGCTCTGAGCAACCAATGGGAGAACAGGGAAAACTAAAGACCCATTCTGCTTTTTTTTTGCAGTACTGTGGCTTGAACTGAGGGCCTACACCTTGAGCCATTCTACTAGCCCTTTTTTGTGATGGGTTTTTTTCAAGATAGGGTCTCTTGAACTATTTGCCAGGCTGGCTTCGAACCTTGATCCTCCAAATCTCTGCCTCTTGAGTAGCTAGGATTACAGACGTGAGAAACCAGTGCCCGGCTTAATTCTGGATTTCTCAAGTAGTTGTGTGAAGACCTGAATTTTTTGAGACAGGGTCATGCTATATAACCTGCCCAGACTGTAACCCAGACTGGTTTCAAAAACTCACAATTTTGCCTCTGCCTCCCAAGAACCAGGATTACAGACATGTGCCACTAGGCTCCTTCCCGTCCCCTCCCTTCCCCTTCTTTCTTGTGGGATTGGAGTTTGAAATCAAATCTTTGTGCTTGCAAAGTAGGTGCTGTACCACTTGAACCACACCTTCAGTCCATTTTTCTCTGGTTATTTTGGAGATGGGATCTCACAAACTATTTGCCTAGACTGGCCTCAAACCTCGATCTTCCCATTCTCAACCTCCCAAGTAGCTAGAACTACACGTGTGAACTACAGGCACCTGACACGCCCAGCTCATTTTTTAAATTTAGGATAAAACTGAGCCTGACTTATCAAACAGAGCTGCATCACTTGAAAAGACAGACATCAAGGTATTGCAAAATGAAAAATGTACAGATGGATTACTGAAGGGCAGAAAATTCAGACAGAAAATGAAAGAAAAAAAAAAAGAAAATTCAGAGAAAAACACAGAGAACAAGGGTTGGGAGAAGTGGTGCACACTTGTAATCCCAGCTATTCCAGGAGGTACAGGCTGAGAGGATCACAATTGGAGACCAGCCCAGGGAAAAAAGTTAGCTGGACCCCACTTCAACCAACAAGCTGGGCATAGTGGCATGCACCTGTGGTTCCACCCACCGGGAGGTACAGGTGAGAGGATTGTGCTTTGAGGATAGCCCCAAGCAAAACACTAGACCCTATTTCAAAAATAAATAAAAGGGCTGGAGGTGTGGCTCAGGTGTTGGAGTACCTGCCTAACAAGAGACCCTGAGTTAAGCCCTAATACTAGCAAAAAAAAAAAAAAACAAAAACAAAAGCAAAAAACAAAACAAAAAACCTACAAACAACAAAATTAATCTACTTCCAAGCATGGGACGTAGGTGTAGGTAAAGTCTTAGATTTTAGAGTGGCCATTTGAGCTGAGAGGTTAAAAAACAAATATGGCTTTCATAGGGTCTAAAGAAAGCAGACATTAATAAGGAAAAAAATTCTTGTGGTCTGGGCAGGATATAAGGTGGAAGCCTTTAAAATGTTAGGAGAAAGTAGTTGGTCTTGGCAGTTAAAGTTGTAGACACTGAAAGCTTTCCAAATGTTTTATGAGGTTTAGCATCACTACATCACTACTCTACCTCTAGTCCAGTGGTGTGGGATGACTTGCTGTCCTCAAACACTCTTACACACTTTTATGCCTTGATCATGACTCTTCGTATTACATGTCTTTTTTTTTTTCTATATGGTACTGGTGTTTGAACTCAGGGCCACACACTTGCTAGGTAGGCACTCTACCACTTGAGCCACTATACCAGCCTGTCTTTGTGTTGGGTTTTTTTGAGATAGGATCTCAAGAACTATTTGCCTGGGTTAGCTTTGAATGGCGATCCTCCTGATCTCTGCCTCCTAAGTAGCTAGGATTACAGGCATGAGCCACAGGGGCCTGGACATCTTACATGTCTTTATCTCCCCCCTATTGGTGTCTTTGAACTACTTTAGATTCAGATGAAATGAGATACTACCAGAGAATTATTTGCCCCTTTTTCTGTGCGCTCATGTCTTCTTGTTATAACAATTATCACGTTATTTTTCTTAATCATTTTTACAAGTTAAACTTTGAGTCTGAGGGCAGAAAATACATCTTGAATAATCTTTGAATATTCAGTGCTGAAAACAGGAGCTGCACACAGTGGGTAGTTCAATAAATATATGTTGAACTGGACCTGGGAATGTAGCTCAGATGCAGAATGCTTGTCTAGCATGCACAATGCCCTGAGTTCAATCTTCAGCACAGGAAGAAAGGAAGGGAGAGAGGAAGGAAAGGAAGGATGGAGGGAGGAAGGAAAGAAGGAAGGAAGGAAGGAAGGAAGGAAGGAAGGAAGGAAGGAAGGTAGGTTGGTTTACTGAACTGGATGAAGTCTTACACATCTCAGTAGGTACAAAGACAACAGGCAGATACATGTGTAACTTTAGACCTAATACCAAAGTGAAAATTTTTCCCATTGTTAATAAAAAATCAACACATTCCCCTCCATTTGTTGATTCCCTGATGTACAGTGTTTTTAAAAACATATAAATGATCACAATTACTGCAAACTTTACATAGGATAAAAAAGCAAAGAAAGATCTTAGAAATAGAATCATTTTATCCTGAGTTCAAACTCCAGTCCCACCAGAAAAAAGCAACATTTCTAGAAAGATCAAGTCCATCAGAAGGTAGAATTGGGAGCGAGGGTAGGTAACGGGAAGCATAAAATAAAAGAATAATAATAGTTATATTAGTTGTCTGTTTGCTGGTACCTATAGCTATGCCAGAAGCTTTACTGGCTTTTTCTTGTGTAATCCTTACCATTATGTGAAATACAATTATCCATCTTATAGAGAGAAGACTGTAGATGAGCTATTATTAATTCACCTGAGATTGCACAGCTACTAAGAAATCAAGACAAACCAGGAACTGGTGGCTCATGCCTGAAATCTTAGCTAATAGGGAGGCAGAAATCAGGAGGATGAAGTTCAAGGCTAACCAGAGCAAAAAGTAACACCTTATCTAAAAAATACTCAACACAAAAAAGGGGTGGTTCAAGTGGTAGGCCACCTGCCTAGTAAGCATAAGACCTAGTCAAACGCCTAGTAAGCATAAGACCCAGTCAAACCCCAGGACTAAAACAAAAAAAGGAAAAATCAAGAAAAGACCTGAATCCAGGACAATCTAACTCTTGACTCAATCTAACTGTTCATCAAAAGCTTTCTTGTGCCAAGTGCCAGTGGTTCATACCAGTAATCCTAGCTACTCAGAAGGCACAGATCAGGAGGACAGTGGTTCAAAGCCAGCTTGGGCAAACAGTTTGTGAGACCCTATCTTGAAAATACCCATCACAAAAAAAGATGGCATAAGTGGCTCAAGGTGAAGGCCCTGAGTTCAAGCCCCAGAACCTCAAAAAGTTTCCCAGACTGTAAGGGAAACCACATGACTTCCCTGCCCCCACACCCCTGTGGGGTACTGGGGATTGACCCAGAACCTTTCCCATACTAATAAGTTCTCTATCACTGAGCTACAACAACATACCCAGGCCAACAACAAGCCTTTTGCTAGCATGAGGACACTGGTCCACTTGCCAGTGAGTAAAGCAACACTCTGATTATCCATCAAGCTCCTGGCACCTTACACCTGAGGAATATGCTTTCAGGATGGAAACTACTTTGGGTTTCTGGTCCTGCCTATGAGACTGAGGACCAGATCGTAAAACATGGTAACTGTACCAAAGACATGTAGTAAGCTGGACAGCCTTTTACTGATAATGCCCTGAACATTCTCACGGACTACAAACCTACGTGACAGTCCATGGAACAATCCTCCCTTATATCCTCAATGTACATTATACTCTCCTATCTCCCCTATGTAATAACCCTGCCAACAGTAAACCTATGTATATTTCAGTCTGTACCACCTCTTAGGATAATGATCTAAAATTACCCTTTATAAATCAGAGTGAATCCTCAGTTCTTATCGTTGGGGTAGTCTGAGATAGTACTTCAGGGATCAAACCTACTCTTACTTAATTTTTTTTTTTCAGAGCTATGGATTGAACCCAGGGCCTTGCACATGCTAGGTAAGCACTCTACTTCTGAGCTACAGCCCCAGCCCTGCCCATATTTTTATCATCCCAGCAGTTTCACAGGCTCTCATCGTATTACTATTTCCTCTCAGCTTGTTTCTTTCCAGCCCATTCTTTTGGTTTGGTTTTTAGTCCTTGGTCTTTGGAGCTGTTTACACAAAATATGACACATCAGGATTTCCTATAAGAAAAAAGAAAGCATATCATTTTGTTCCTTCCTAGCGATAGTCAACATTTTCTCAGCTCTGTCAGAGTAGCTCACTTTCCTCATCTTTAGAAAGCAGATTCCAAGGCCACTTGGACCCTATTCTTTGCTTGTAACTGATGACTCAGAGGTCATACAACTGTAAATATAGTTCATACACATTATAAATATGGTCTAGGTTATGTCCTTCCCAGGACACTACCTTATATTTGCCCACATTAAAGCCTTAGAATATCATCTTGTAAGTTATTCTTAAGACAAGATGGTCTGAGATAATGCCTTAGAGAAAGGTACTATGAAGAAAAAGAAGCTACGGATTTATTTTTAATTGTGGTGCTGGTAATTGAACCCAGGTCCTTGTACATGCTAGACTTAGCACTCTACCACTTAGCTACACCACCAAACCAAAAGCTAGGATTTTTTTGAAAAAAATTTTTTGGCAGTACTGGGATTTGAACTCAGGCCTCATGCTTACTAAACAGGTTCTCTACTACTTGAGCTACTTGGCCAACTTTTTTTTTTTTTTTGTGGTACTGGGGTTTGAACTCAGGGCCTACATCTTAGGCCACTCCACCAGCCCTTTTTTGTGAAGAGTTTTTTCCAGATAGGGTCTTGTGGAACTATTCACCAGGCTGGCTTCAAACCTTGATCCTCCTGCTCTCTGCCTCCTGAGTAGCTAGGATTACAGGTGTGAGCCACTGGCACCTGACTAGAAGTTAATAATTTAAATGCAAGTCAGCATCATTATTATTTCTGGTATCTAAGTTCCAAACTGTGCAAAGAGAATTGCAAAATGCAAATATCCTAGAGGTATCTGTTTGGTAATTTTCCTCTAAATCTGCCTTTTCCTTATGCTTCAGTCCTAATGTATATACAAGAGACAATTGGAATAATTTGGCTTCTATTAAAAAAGGAGTCATATGTAAAATTTTCAAATACTTCACACATTTCTAGAATAGTATCTAACCTAAGGCAAGTAACTGGGATTAGGAGTGAGAAAACTAGTATCCTGGTGTTGAGAAACCAAGCTACACCCTTTTCCATGTCTGCATTCAAGCAGCTGAATGTTCCTGAAGAAAATCTACATACTGGCCCATCTGGCTTAACTTTCAACTTATGATCACAAATCTTAAACGTGTACCAATGCCACCAAAGCAGTCCTAAGGAAAGGATAGGACTTGCTTTCCTCTCCCCTACATTTGCATCTTAACCTTTGTTATCCTTACTATCAGTGGAAGCATCCTATCCAAGGTCTATCCCTCTATTTCCTTATATTCTTCTGTGGATTTCAGTCCTCTGTGGGTCCAGCAAGCTGCCTCTCTCCTGTATCAAGAATCTTTTTCACCAATGGTGCATAAAAATGCTAAAAAGCCCCACGGTCCTTTAAAAACCTCTCCTCTGGGTCAAGATGGAGCTCTGTGGTTCAGCACTTACCTAGCATGCGCAAGTCCCTGGGTGTGATCACTAGCACGGAAAGGGGGAAAGGTACAACTCTCCTCTGACCTCATAACCTTTTGCACTATCACCAAATTTCTCTTCTCCCCTCACAGCAAAACTTCTCTCAAGTTGCCTGTATGTGCTGTCTCTATTTCCCCACTTTTCTGTTCACTCTTTAACCTATTCTAGTGTGGTCAATATCCCTGACTGACCCATATGAATCAGGTCAAAGTCACCAACAACATTCTATAGTAACCTCCAAGGTAACCAATTCAATAGTCATGCCTCTGGTTCAACTTTATCAGAACTCTCAGCTGCTGAAGCTTTCCCTTCTACTTGAAACTCTGTCCTTGAATTCCACAATTCAATACTCTAAATTTCCTTCTCTCTTCCTGCCCTCTCTCTAATGTTAGGGTAACACAGGATTTGGTCCAGAATTTTTCTTCTCTCTTTCCTTCAAGTCAAGGGTCATACACAGTCCACAGCTAAATTTAAACATCTGATTTAGTTGCCAACATTTCAAAAAATTTACATTTTTAAAAAAATCCAGACTTCTGATTTCTTCAGAGGAAAAAACAGTATCTGTCAATATTGGGCCAGCATTCTCATAACAGAGCAATCAGCTGCACGGAGCAGGTCCCTCGACACGAGGTTCGTTTGTTATCACCACATCTAATGCAAAGAAATTGGGAATACAGTCCTGAGCCACATTTCCTTAAGTACCAAAACTCTCCTTAGGGAGCCACTAAAACACCTGGCAATCGGCGTTCTGTCAACTTCACCGCTGGTTGGGCGAGGTCCGCAGGCGCCTCCTGGGGAGGAGGGGTTGAAGGACTCCGCCCTCAGGGAACTTAACAGCTCCCGGGCAAAGACAAGAAATGCACATTTTAAAACACAGAATTACATCGTGCCAAATACTGCAATTCTTTTCAGCTAAAGACGACTGTTGTGGTCTGCGGCATACAAGCGTAAGTCTTCCGCTGCCTCTCCGGCTGAAGTGGCCTGAGGTCACCGAGAGGAGACCCTTACTCTCTTATCTAGCAGTGGTTTTAGGAGACTCTCTTCTAGGGCAGAGAGATAACCAAAAGCCGCTGGGCAAGGACAGCCCTTCTGCTGTTGCTCTTGGGTACTGTACTGTGTCAGAAGAGCTGCGAGCGCCAGGACACCCGTCGGGCCTTACTAGGTGGCTGGCCACAGAGCAGCGTTCGGAGGGCGGGTCCAGCCCGACTGAGGCGGAGACTGGGCGGGGCCGGGCCTAGGAGCAGCCTCAGCCTCACAGCCCAGCTCCGCGCGCGCTTCCTCCAGCCACCCCCACTCCTCCAGCCCTTAACGGGTTCAGGGGGCCCAAGACAGCAGCTAAGGAACCAGGTCAACCAGGCCAAGATCCGGGACCGCCCAGAGGCGGCGGCCTCCGTCCAGGAAGCCCCACCCAGCCCGAGCCCGGATGCCACCGCGCCAGCTGAGCCCACGCGCGACCGGGCGAGGGCGCGGGAGGGCGCGTGCGGCGTGACGACGCGACTCGCGGCGCGTCCCGTGACGCCATCGCGCCTGCTTTTGAAAGTTGGCGCCCGGGGCCGCCTCCCATGCTGCCCTGCGCCAACCCCTCCCCTCACCTTTCCTCCCCCGCCCTCCACTCGCCGCCCGGCCGGCCCCCCCACCCGTCCCTTCCCTTATCAGCACCCGCGGCCCCGGCAGCGCCGACGCAGGCGCACTGCACCGCACGTCCGCCATTTTGTGCCCGAGCCTGTGGAGCGATTAAACCGTGCGCGGAGCTGCTTCTTTGGCGGCAGCGGCGGCAGCAGTAGCCGGTGCGGGCACGCGGAGCTGGCCGGGGACGCCGGGTGGCCGGAGCGGTGGAGCGGCGGCGGAGCGAGCGCCGCGGGGGGTGTGGCGCGGAGGTAAGGGGGACCGGGGTGGAGGAGGTTTCGCGGGCCGCCTCTAGGTGTCACGATGGGGCCGCTCCGGTCGGCGCTGGCTGTAGCCCGGCGCCAGTGCCGCCGCCGGGGGGTGTTTGTCTCCCTCTACCGTCCCTGCTGCGGCGCGGCCGCCGCCATTGCCCGTCTCCGGCGCGGCCCGACCGCCCCCCCTCCACGCCCGCTCCCTAGGCCTCCCTCCTGGTGGCACGCTAGGCCTCGGGCAGTGGCGGCGACAGAGGCCCGCGCGCCCGGCGACTCCATTTTCCTTCCTTTGTTTCTGCCCTCGAGGCCGGCTCTTGGCCCGGCTAGTTGCCGGGCCGTGGCCCGCCCTCTGCCCTCCGCCCCTCCCGCGGCTGGTGTTCCCAGCCGAAACTCGGTCTCCGCGCCCTGGCTTCCGCGCTCGCCTCTCTCAAGGGTCTGGACCTTCTACCACTGGGCGCATAGCCCGGTCCCTGAGCCGTGTGGGTGTGGGGTCCCGGCCGGCGCGTCGGGTCCCGGCCGGCGCGTCTCGGGCTGCCCATCCTCCAGGTCCACCCGGTCCCGGAACCTACCCGGCCGCCTTGCGTGCTTCTCCAGCTGCTCGGCTGCTCTGCGGTCGCTCTCAGTCCGCGCGTCGTCGCTGCTGGTCTCCGTCTCCGCCGAGTGGCGCAGGCGGCGCTGCTGCGGCTGCGATCAGAGGGACCCCAGAGCTGCCGAGAGCTCCCTCTGCAAGGCTGGCTGAGCTGCTCGCGCCTCGACGCCGCCCGAGCGGGCGGGGGAAACGCGCGCTCGCCGCCCCCGCCGGGCCCCGCTGCGCCCCCAAACTCGCGCCAGGGCTCCGCGCCCGACCCGAAGGGTGCAGCCCCCCCACCCCCCCATGGTGGGCGGAAAAGACAAGAGTTCGCTCAAGTAGTTTTTCTCCTGCCAGGCTTGCACTCGCCAAGCCCTTGGAACGATAGGCAGCCCGACTTTGTGCGCTCAGAGATCTCAAAGGGACCGAAACTTAATTTCACTGGTCTCAAGTGACGTGACCAACTCCTGATTTCGGGAGTATGGGCTGGTTTCCGTTGATTTAGGCGACCCTTCCACTATAAAAAGTCCGGACGCCAACTTCATACACCACTTTCTACCTGATGCTCTAGGGCTAGGCAAAGGCAATTCTGCCCCTGGATTGTGCAACCTGATCTAAAGCGCCAGTAGGGCAGAATGAATTTATTCTTGACTCGACTGGTAATTTGCCCATACGCTGAAATGTGAGGGTTGATGTTGTAATTGAATCTTGGGCCACTCGATGCGGATGGTTTATAAATATCTACGCCTAAAGTAACTCCTCTTTAGTAGCTAACTTCCTGTATTCCTGAGTTCAGCATTAAGTAAACATTCGAGGGGAGTCCATACTTTTGAGTTCAGATCAACTAGGAAAGTGAAACCCCCCATAAGGAAAAGAAGTTAAACAGGCCTGTACTTGGTTTTAGTCTGTCCTTAAGTCCTCTTGCGTCATTAGAAAGCTTCCTGGGTTAAATTGCCAGAGTTTTCTCATTTTGTTTTTTCCTCAAATATTCTAATTCCCTTAGAGAAGAAAGTCTGGGTTGACATTTTTAACTTTTTTTTTTTTTTTTTTTTTTTTGGCGTTACTGGGGTTTGAATTCAAGTCCTTACACTTGAGCCACTCCACCAGTTCTGGGTTGACATTTTTTTTAAGACGGGAAAGTTATGTTAATTTATGAAGAGGGAGACAAAATTGTCTGGTCCAGTGTATGTAATCTCAGTCTGTAAATCCTGCAGACCGTCTGCAACAATCCATATGCAAGGTTTTCAGCATTTTTTTTTTTTTTTTTTTTTTTTAATGAACCTCAATGTGGCCTCACTAGCCACATTGAAATCTTATGCTACTTTATGTTTTGTAGTGCTGGAGACCAAACCCATGGTCTTGTATGAAAGCTAGGCAAATGCTTTCCCAACTGAACTACACTCTTAGCCCCTCAATATCCTTTTTTGAATTCTACAAAGTTTTCTGCTCTCCCTCATCTCCAGTATAATTGCATTAAGTAGGTAAAAGCAGTAGTGTTAATGGAGTGTTAGGCTTGGGACTAGAAAGACTTATAATATATTAGTCCAGTTGTGTAATTTATTGCATTCTTTTGTGTTTTAGTTTTACTGTCAAACTTATGGGTGACCAGTGGTATATGTTATTTATTAAAATAAGCTCCACACGGATTAAAAATTGAAATGCAGTAGGTTTGTAATGGAACGAAGAGCAAAGCTTGATAGAATTGTACCCCACAGTTGGGCACCGGTGGCTTCTGCCTGTAATCCTACTTGGGAGACAGAGATTAGGAGGATTGAGGTTCGAGGCCAGCTCCTGCAAATAGTTGGTTAGACCCCCCCCATCTCCAAAATAACCAGCACAAAATGGACTTGGATGTGCTGCTCAATCAGTAGGACGCCTGCTTTGCAAGTGTGAAGCTCTGAGTTCAAACCTTAGTCCCATCAAAGGAAATATTAATGAAAGAATTGTGCTCCACAGACTGTGTACATTATTTGTGCTGTATTAATGATATAAACCTTGTCCACACAGTTGGTATCCTTTGAGATTTCTGTATAGCAGAAATTATACTTTTTTTTTTTTTTAATTGTTGGTACTGTGGTTTGAACTTGGGGCCTCACCCTTGCTAGGCAGGCACTTTACCACTTGAGCCACTTGCCCAGCCCTGTTTTTGTGTTGGGTATTTTTGAAATAGGGTCTCACAGACTATTTGCCATGCTGCCTTCAAACCCCGTCCTTTGGGGGGGGGGGAGAAAAGGGGTAGGGAGGAGCAGTGACCCAGCAGTGTATGCACATGTGAATAAATGGATATTAAAAAAAAAACAAAAAAACCCCACTCCGTCCTCATCTCTGCCTCCCGAGTAGCTAGGATTACAGGCATGAGCCACCTACACCTGGCTACTTTGTTTTTGTTGGAAAACTAAATCTACAGAAAAAATAGAGGATGAATCAATATGTGAAGATAACTCAAAGGACTTGTTAAAATCAGTAGTTTAGGGCTGACGGAGTGGCTCAAGTGGTAAGAGCACCTGCCTAGCAAGTGCAAAGCTGTGAGTTCAAACCCCAGTTCTGCAAAAAAAAAACAGACACCAGTAGCTTTTGCTTGTAATCCTAGCTACTTGGGAGGTAGAGATCAGGAGGATCATGTTTCAAGGCCAGCACAAGCAAATAGTTTTCAAGACCCTATCTCAAAAAGAAAAATCCATCACAAAAAAGGGCTGGTGGAGTGGCTCAAGGTGTAAGACCTCAGTTCAAGCCTCAGTCTACAGGAAAAAAAAAAATAGTAGTTTGATTACAAGAATGTTTGCCTATGTTAAAAAAACATTCTGCTTATTTAAGAATAGTTACGAATGTTAACCTAGGGATCCATTCAAGCTACATAAGAAAACTCAGTCTATGCAAAAGCTACCCTTAAGATACATTCACATTCTAGTAGCTGTAGGATTTTTGTTTTAAATGATATTTAGAAATGAGGGTATCCACCTGAGACTTCTGAGTGGGTTGGTGAGTTCCTTAGAGGCCAGTTGTGGCCTGACTGAGGCGTTCTATATACTTGTAGGAAGATTTTTGTAGAGATTTTTTTTTTTTTTTTTTGCTTTAGGGATGCTGCTGGCATCACAACTATGCCCATGTCATCCACTTCTCTCTCTCTTTTTTTTTTTTTTTGTCATTTTTGATGCTGGGGATTGAGCCTAAGGCCTCCTACATGCTAAATGTAGCTCTACCACTGAGCTACACCCCAGCCTACCACATTACCCACTTCATAGGCTCCATTTCATTTTCTTTTTTTTTAATTGGCAATTCCCTTTTTTTGGTAGACATAGGGTTTAAACTCTGGGTGTCACACTTGCTAGGCAAGTGATCACTTGAGCCCTCATCTTTTTTTTTTTCTTTTTTTTAAATGGAAGCCTAACTTGATTATCTACTTTATTTACTTGTCTTGGCCCCAGATGACTTCAAGGTGTTTTCCCAAAAATTAGATTCTTTTTCAAATAACGATGTGCCAGGCACGGTAGCAGTGGTCCTTCCTTGTATACAGTAGGCTGAGGCAGGACAATCTTCTGTTCAATGCTAGCTAAGTATCAAGATCCTATCTTAGAACACCAAAAACAAACAAAACTTCTGAACTTTATCTAGTCACTGTCTTCATATGCTCCCTCTCAGTATTTTTGTGGATTTTCTTAGTGATTTCATATTTGAGTATAGAGATGTGGCATTGCTTATATATCTCAAAGGTAAGGATATATTTTTCCATATGTAATCTTCATTTGGAATTGCTGTTAGAATTTCAGGGGTGTAAAATTCCATTCCCTTGAAGCATGGTAGTGATATATGAACTCCAGTGAATACAGGTGTTTCTGGCCAGCCATGGTGGTGTTTATCTGTAATTTCAGCAGTTGGGAGGCTGAGGCAAGAGTGTCTTGAATTCCAGGCCAATCTGGGTTAGAGACCCTGTGTGTGTGGGGGGGAGGGGGTTGGATTAAATACACTGATCTTCTATTTGTGTTGTAAACTGTCAACAGAGGAGACTTCTCTTTAGTTTGGTCTGAGAAGGTATATCACCTTTGTTTTGTAGGCTAGTTAATGAGATGGATTTCCTTTTAGTTGGTACTTTATATGCCAAATCTTTGGAAACTGCTGATTTTGAAAGAGGTCTCCCTTTGTACTTGATGCTGCCCTCAAATTCTTCCTGCCTTAGCCAACTGAATGTGGATTGCAGCTGTGTGCCATCGTCTTTGGAAATTGTTTATTCAGATTTAGCGCTTAAGTTTTACTTGGTGTTTCTTTTTTTTTCCTGTAGAGGTAAGTTCCACTCTACCATTGCTTGGAACTTTACGGTTCATTTTGTAATTTAGGGAGGAAAAATGTAGCAAACAAAGTATTCCATTATTTAACTAAAAAAATATATTTGCTGTACTTCAAAAGTCAGTGAAAGCATCCCCCCCCACCGTAGTTATCTTATTAAATTGAAAAGTAGTCTTGTGTAAACTAATCAGTAAGACCACTATTTACTCAAGATTAGGAAATAAAACTGTTCAAGAACTGTTACCATAGATAAAAGAATTTTTGGTAGTTTGAATATATGTGCTGTAGATTATAATGGAGTACTATTCTGATAATTACAAATCCTTTTAATCCTTTATTTTTCTCTTTTGACTCTGGGGGTTTTCACATGGTAAAGAGTAACATTTTATTTTCTTTTTTTGGCTATACTGGGGCTTGAATACACTGCTTCATGCTTGCTAAGCATATACTCTGTCGCTTTAGCCACTCCCATCAGTCCTTTTTGTAGTCCTTTATCCAATGAATATCTGTCTTAAAAAGTGAGTGTTTTGTTATTGGCTTGATAGATATTTATGGAAATGGCTCAATTAATGACAGCCTTTTTTGAGCTAGGAACCTTTTTTTGGGAGGGATTGGGATTTGAACTCAGGGCTTTGTGCTTGCAAAGCAGTCACTCTACTGCTTGAACCATACCTCCAGCCCATTTTGCTCTGGTTATTTTGGAGTTGGGAGTCTCAGGAACTATTTGCCGGAGATGTCCTCAAATTATGATCCCTCCTGATCTCAGCCTCCCAAGTAGGTAGGATTATAGATGTGAGCCACCAACACCCGACTGAGACAGGATCTTGCTCTGTAAGCCAGGCTTTCCTCAAATTTGCCATCCTCTTGCTTCCACTTCCCAAATGCTAGCATTACAAGTGTGCACCTCCATGCCTGGCTAGATGTTTCTTTCCCAATTACATCAATCTTCAGTATGTTCTCAGTTTTATTTTTCATGCTATGTGGTGCATTTGTGTGAATTTAGTGTTTCATAAAATGATTTTTTTTTAAATCATAGTCTTAAGATATCTTTACTTTTTATTCTGTATCTGATGATAATTCTTCTCTTTTAGAATGATCTCAGACCTAAAACCAAAGAACAAGATGCACTAGTAGACAGATTGCCGACCAAGGATTTGGGAGCTAGTTCTGTTATCTGTCCTCAAACTGACTTCGCAGCCACGGAGAGGTAATTGCTATTTCTTTTTCTAAGCTCTTTTAAATGAATAATGTAACCCTCTTGGCTAGAGGCTTTGCTTGGTAATTCTTTGGTATAGGCGATGTAAGAAATTGGGTAATTGAGAGCATATAGGCTTTAAAGTCATAGTCCTGGGTTTAAAACTCTGCAGGGTCACATACAAGCTGGGTGGCACAGGGCAAGTTACTAATCTGGTCTATTCCTAGAGTCCTCATTTGAAAGAGAATAATACCAATATTAGAGTCTATTTTGGGGATTAATAATAATGAAAATAAATGAGTAAATACCATTCTGACTATAAACATAGGAAAACATCAGGAAACTTTCTACAGAAAAGCCTTGGATTGTATATTTTGAATATTAGCAGATGACCTGAAAATTCCATGGCCTTGGGGCAATTTGTAATTTTGATGAGGAATAGATGGAATCCTGTTCTTTAGGAAGCTGGTATCCTGGATAAAAACAGTCTTAATTTGAGTTAGCCTAACTGATGGCCTATGTTTGCATCAGAATGTGATAGTCATTACCAGTTTACTTTAGCTTATAATTTCTGCTGTAAAATATTATGGGCATTATAGGGGACTTGGAACAGGCCTTTCATAAATATTGGGGTCTGCTTTTCTTTGGGATCTCTAAAGCAAGTAGAGTTCTGGGTGTAAAAGTTACATCTTTTCAGACTAACAGAAAGTATATTTTTTTTACCCCTAGAAAAATGTGAAAATAATTTAATTGCCCTTGTATAATGGCAAAAAGGAATGTAGAGGTGGAAATTTCAATTGCTAAAATTAGGTAAGATTATATGAATGAATTGTCTTAAGTGACTGCTAGAATTTTTGGGGCGGGGGGGGGTTGGTACTGGGATTTGAACTAAGGACTTCTCACTTACTAGGCAGGCACTCTACCACTTGAGCTACTCCATCAGCCCTTTTTTTGTATTGGGTATTTTTGAGGTAGAGTCTCATGAACTATTTGGCTGGCTGGTTCCTGATATCTGCCTGAGTAGCTAGGATTGCAGGCTAGAGTTGTTTTTATAAGCTATGCCTAAAGCACATAGAGAAGAAGTACAAACTAGGAATGAAAACTATTCTTCAAGTCTCTGTTTTCCAAGTGGGCTTGCTCCAGAAGTAACTTATTCCCTGCAGGTTCTTTTAAGGAATGTTGACACAGACTGCATACTAATAAGTGGTTGAAAAGAGAATACTCATTTGAAGAACTGTTGAGAAATCTTGACTTAAGAGTTTAGGAAATAGGATTTTAGGAATGTGACTACTTGTAAGTGTTGTGGCTAGCTTAACGTGTTTAGATCCCTGTTCTCAAGTTGGGATATGATAACCTGATATGATTCTGGGGCATTTGAAGCCACAAGATAAATATGACTAATTTTCTTGGAGCTTCAATTATGCTAACTTAGGGGGAAGTGAGTTAAGTAATTTAACTGAAAGTAATTAAAAATATTGTTATATTTAACAAGTTTGCATTTTAGGAGAAGGCTGCAAAGTATGTAACTGTCTTGAATAACACAGGTCTTCAACAGAATGAGGCATGAGTGCCTGGGGTAAGAAGGGCTCTTTGTACAGGTACCACAGTAGAAATATTTGAGAAGCAATACTTTTCAGCTATTGAACAATTCCTTACATTGTCCCTATAGTAGTCTACTATACAATATAGAAGTTAGATTGTATTAAGTAGTACTCGCTTGCATATGTGCTCTACATATACCTGACATGCACAAGAAGATTCCTAGATGACTAAATCAAGTTAAAAGTTACCAAGACCATTCCAATGATAGGATTATAATTTAAAAGAAGAAAAGAAGAAACAATGCACAGAATCAGGTGTAAAACTATAATGCAAATTCTGTAAGACAGAATTTTGGGAATATTATACTAGCTCATTCTTTTTTTTTTTTTCTTTTTTTTCTTTTTTTTCCCCAGTACTGGGGTATGGAATTCATGGCTTTGCACTTATTAGTCAGGCGCTCTCCCACTCAAGCCTGGCCTCCAGCCCTTTTTGCTTTAGATTTTTTTTTTTTTTTTAGATAGGGTCTCTCTTTATGTCTGGCCAGCCCTCAATACTGGGTTGTCTCCAGAGTTGATGGAATTACAATTAACCAATCTTGTTTTGTGGTGCTGTGGTTTGAACTAAGGGCTTCACACTTGCTAGGCAAGCACTCTACCAGTTGAGCCACACCTCCAGCCAGTTAACTCAATCTTGGTGGTACTGGGGTTTGAACTCAGTGCCTTGTGCTTGCTATAGGCAGGCACCTATTATTACAGTCATGACCCCCAGCAATTAACTCTTTTTTTTTTTTTTTTTTTTTTGTGCTACTGGGTTTGAACTCAAGGCCTACACCTTGGTCCACTTCACCAGCCCTTTTTTCTGTGACAGATTTTTTCGAGATAGGATCTCTGAAACTATTTCTCTGGGTTGGCTTTGAACTGTGATCCTCCTGATGTCTGCCTCCTGAGAGCTAGGATTATAGGTGTGCGCCACCAGTGCCCAGTTAGCAATTAACTTTTAACAATTTATACTGATTTTGTTAACATTTCCTTTCTCCAATTCAGGTTAAGTAATCCATCATAAAATAACTATACTAAGCTTTGAACCTATGACTTCTATGATAATTCTTTATAAGCAGCTATTTGTGTTTTGTGTGCTTTATAATTAGTATTGTTACTAATATATTGGTTTTAATTTGACACTTAAGAATTAGGTTTTCTATGTTGATAATGCCTATTGTTTAAACACAGGCTTTATATTTGAACCTAATCGGTTTTAAATATACTGAAGTGTGACTTCTGAAATGATGTAAATTAGATCAAGCCAGATTTACTCCTGCAGTGTCTAGGAGATGCTAAGGATGGACCAAGGGCCTGTGCTTTCTAGGCAAGCTAACACTGAGATACATCATAGCCTTTTTTTCCTTTTGTTTTTTTGAGAAAAGGTCTCGCTATGTAGCTCAGGTTGGCCTCAAACTCAAAATCCTCCTGTTCAGCCTCTAGTACTGGGATAAAAGGTGTGAAGCACCACACCCAACATGCTGTATCTGCAAAATACACTTCAGTATATTTAAAATTTGTAAATAAGTGTGGGAAGACATGATCAGCTATAGGATTTTGTGGAAGATATTGGGAAAGGCTTTCTGGACAAGAGACCCTAATTAGGGATAACAGAAAATAGAAAAGCATACAATTTGATCTTAACCATTTTCGGGTACCAAGACCTATACTTGTAGCCTAATAACAATATGTCCTATTACAAGTTCAACAGGATTATGGCAGTTAAATTAAGTATATACATGTTTATAACTGTAGTGTTCTACATAGAGGTCAAATGATTTTAGCCTTTAGCATTAGTTGCTCATATATTACGTTAAACTGAACAGTGGTGGCCACCACACAATACAAAAATTAAATGAACTTAACTTAGAATATTATAGATGAGGAAAAGGGTAGGGTTCCCCCCCCTCCCCAGAAAATCGTTGAGCGGTAGAGAAATGGATAAATTGACAGGGTCACATCTCATGTGATTAACCAGCAAAATTCTTATGATGAAGGACTTTTAAAAACATAGTATTGACTGAGCATGGTAGTTCACAACTGTAGTCCCAGCACTTGAGGGGATTAAGGTGAGAGGATCACTTGAGCCCAGGAGTTTAAGACCAGCCTGGGAACATAGTAAGATTCTTATCTTTAAAAAACAAAACAAAAAAACAATAATGAACTGGGGTTATGACTCAGTGGCAGAGTACTTGCCTAGCATGCTTGAAGCCCAGGGTTCTGTCCCCAGCACTACAAAATAAAAAACATAATACAAAGAAAATAAATTGCTGTTGAATAAAAGTAAAGAAAAACTCAAAAAGCAAACATGGTACATAACAAGAGCTTAGCAATTTTTTTTTTTTTCTTCACCACTAGGGTTTGAACTCAATCTCGCACTTGCTAGCCAGGCATTCTTCCTGCTTGAGCCACTCTCCTAGCCCTTTTTTTACGATGGGTTTTTTCCAAGATAGAGTCTCTCGAACTATTTGCCCGAGACTGGTTCCATCAATGATACTCCTGATTTCTGCCTCCTGAGTAGCTAGGATTACAGGTGTGAGGCACAGGTGCCGGGCCTGTTTGTATTTTGAGATAGGGTCTTACATTGTAGCCATGTTGGCCTTGAACTCACTATTGTAGCTCAGGTTGACCCTGAACTTGTGATTCTTCTGCCTCAGCTTTCTCAGTGCTGGGATACAAGTGTGTACCACCATGCCCACCTAGTAAGTAATTATTTGAAACTGTCTAAAATAAAAAGACCAAAAGACCAAGCTCAAGCAGTAGAGGTCCTGCTTTGCAAGCTTGAAGCCCTGAGTTCAAACTCCAGTTCCAACAAGAAAAAAAAAAAATAGACATCAGAGCATTAGTCAAAGGCCAGGTGTACTGGCTCACATCTGAAATCTCATCTGCTTGGGAGGCAGAGATCAGGAGGATTATGGATTGAGGCCAGCCCAGGAAAAAAGTTAGGGAGACCCCTCTCAATAAGCTAGGCATGGTGGTGTGTGCTTATGATCTCAGCTACAAGGGAGACAATAGTTAGGAGGATTGCAGTCTAAGGCCAGCTTGACACCCTTATCTGAAAAATAACTGACAAAAAAATTGGGAGGTGGGGTGTGACTCAAGAGGTAGAGCGCCTGCCTAGCAAGTGCCAAGCCCTGAGTTCACAACCCAGTACAATCCCCCCACCCCCCAAAAAAATCAAAACAACAAAACTAGTGTGGGAGACTGGGTATATGGCTCAGTGGTAAAGCACTTGCCTAGTATGTTCAAGGCACTCAGTTCAATCCCAGCCTTACAATGGCAATAACAACAAAACTAGTAGTGTGAATATGGTTAGGTTTGGCATGACTCTCTTGGTTTTGCATAGTCTATAAAACAAAGTTATTTTGTAATGTGAATTTTTTCTTTTAGGTTAGATAAAGCAGAGTTAACAAATTTTGGCAATAACAATAT